GTGGTTGGGCCAGCAAGTGGTATGGTGGTTAAGGCACTGGATTCCCACATGGCCAACCACTGTTCAAGTCCTGGATCTGGCAGCTTGAAAATCATGCTGGGCGTGTGAGCAAGCATGCCCAAAATCCCAAGGGGAGAATGGAGGAGAAGGGATTAGGATGTGGACATCTCCTCTGGGGAGTGACTTTTCACTTTTCCTCTCACTTTTTTTTTTCAATGTCTCTCTCTGGCACATGCATGTGCCCTATGGCCAAGAAATACAATACAATACAATACAATACAATACAATACAATACAATACAATACAATAAAAGTACAGATGTGGTTGTAGGGCCATGTGTAAGGAGAAGCACAGTGGGAGGGATGTGCACAACATTGTAGGGTGTTGAACTTGTCATCATCATGGAGGAAAATTATTTCACTGGGTGAATACTTAGAAAAACATAAAGAACTTTATACTAAAATTACGGCATGGGGGGCCAGCAGGTGGCGGGTGGCTAAGGGTGCTGGATTCCCACATGACTAACTGTGGTTCGAGTCCCGAACCAGGCAGCTTGCTTTCTCACTTTCTCTCTCTCACTCCCTCACTCTGTCCTTCTCTGGCCAAATTAAAATAAATAAAGTTGAATAAAATAATTCTTAAAAATAAAATAAAATTATGGCATGTACTTCTTTACAGTACTTCGAAAGCTGTTGAGCATAGAATAAGTTGAGCATAGAATATGCTTCACAACTTTTTTTGTAAGTTGGTGCAGAGGACATTTTTAACATGTGTAGATTTTATAGCTAAGCGAGATTAAAGTAGGACTGCTGCTGTATTTCTCTGTTCCCCTCTGAGAGTTGAGCAGGACATCAACAGAAACGTTGAGCGCTCCGTAGACACCAATTCATCACGTAAGCAGGACGGTACAGGAGGAGACCCCACAGAGGAAACTTGGATGCTGTCCTGAAATTGTCCTTTTAAAAATACTCCTCAGTTTAGCTTTCACTGGACGTACATTTTCTTACCTGTTTTTGAGAAGTAATTTGAGTAGATTCCCAAGAGGAAGAAACAAGAAAAAAAAAACTTTCAAGTGATTCTTACATGTGAGCTCCACCAGTAATGGACGCCAGACCAACTGGATGGGCAAGGAAAGCAGAATCCACAAGGTCACCCAGGAATTGTCATTCCAGGTTATCAAAGCAATTGGTGAAGCTAGGGAAGGTCTCTGGATTGCCCTGAGGGTGTCTCTGGAACAACTTGAAGACTTTTCACATACTTGGTTGTTCCGTGGGAGTCAGTCAGCAAATAGATTGTGAGCTCCTGCTAGGTGCCAAGCGTGATTTCTAGCATGGGGTCACAGTTTTAGTCAATGAGCCTTTATTATGAATGAAAAAAAAATAAGTTTCATGCTCTCTATTCTTGTTTTGCATTAAAAAAATTCAGATCTTTTATAGATTTGGGATTTTTTAAAAATCTGGTTTCTTGTTAAATTAAAAAAATAATAATCCTAGCAGATATCTAAACAGAGGATATATCATTCTATTTTATTTAAAAAGGAAACATAAAATCATTTGTTAAATCAATCCAAATTGGACCAGAGCTGTTTTCTAAGTCCTAGTTGGTAGATCTATCTTGATAGAAATTCTTTTTTTTTTTTAAGAGGTTTTTGCTATAGGGCGCGTGAGCTCGCCAGAAAGACAGAGAGAGACAGAAAGAGAGAAATCATCCCCTAGGGGGGATGGCCACGCTGTAATCCCTTCTCCTCCATTCTCCTTTCGGGATCTTGGGGGCACGCACGCACACAACGCCCTGTGTGAGTTTAAGCCACCGGGTCCAGGACTCAAACCGCAGTTGACTACATGGGAGTCCAGCAACATAGCCATTAGGCCATCGGCTGGTCTCTCTTTGCGTGTCATCCTTGCACAGGGGCCGTGCTAATCTTCTCTGTATTGTTCCAATTTTAGCTTATGTGCTGCCGAAGCGAGCACAAGGCTGGTCTCTCTTGACAGAAATTCTACGTAGAAAAATATGTCTTGATTTTTCCAACAACCCAATATTTCTTCAAATCTCAGTTGACTTAAAGTTGCCCTCTATTTGATTAATATGAATTATGATATAGGTCAGAATACACCGTGATGAAGTAATCAGGGTCTAAATACTTGAAAGAATTCCTCTCTGGTTTATAGCGTTACACCTCCCCTCACTGAAGTTACTGTGGAAAGAGAAACGAGGTATTTGTTTTGTTTTAGTTTTTTGGGGGTGTTTTTTTGTTTTTTGTTTTGTTTTATTTTGGTTGTTTGTTTTTTGATTTTTTTTTTTTTGAGAGGTTTTTGCTATAGGGCGTGAGCACTTGCAAAGAAGACAGAGAGAAACAGAGAGACAGAAAGCGAGAAATCACCCCCCCCAGGGGGGATGGCCACACTGCAATCCCTTCCCCTCCATTCTCTTCTCGGGATCTTGGGCACGCATGCACATGCGCCCGGTGTGAGTTTTAAGCCACTGAGTCTGAGATTCGAACCGCAGTCAACTACATGGGAGTCCAGCGACATAGCCATTATGCTAACTGCTAGTCCCTTGCTTTAGTTTTTGCTATGGGGTGCCTGTGTTCCCCAGAGAGAGCAGAGACAGAGAAAGAGAGGAAAAGAAAAAAAACTGTCGCCTAAGAAGGATGGCCCTCTGCCATCCCTTCTCCTCCACTCTCCCCTTGGGATTTTGGACTTGCACACTTATGTACCCAGTGTGTTGAGAAATGCAGTGTGTTTTCCCTTAATATTTGCTGACCTGTTAAAGAAAGTTTGAAATAATCTTGGAGGAACTTTTATATCTCAGCATATGACTATTGAGAAGGTACCATTAGGTAGTTTCTTGTTTGTTAAAAGTTTGATGTAAACATTTATGGGTAATTGAGAATGCAAGGAAATATATTTGAACATAACTTGCATATTTTTCAGCTGATGGCTAATTCTCAATGCTAATTTATGTCCAGAGCAGAAAAGAACAAATATTTGGATAATATCGCTGCGTATGCACATATTTTCAAGTCTACTTAATTAAATAAGGTTTTAGACATTTTTTAAAAGTAATTACATAAACGAAGATGATTTTGGAAGTGCAGTTTGTCAGTGATTTATAATCAAGGCAGCATCTTCAACAGTTAAACTTGGAGAATAAAAGGAATCCCAGGGGTTTTTTTGTGTGCGTTCATTTGTTTTTGAGAGGTTTTTGCTATAGGGTGCATGCGCTTGCCAGAAAGACAGAGAGACAGAAAGCGAGAAATCACCCCCCCAGAGGGGATGGTCATGCCACAATCCCTTCTCCTCCATTCTCTCAAGATCTTGGGCACGCACACACACACGCCCGGTGTGTGTCCAAGCCACCAGGTCTGGGACTCAAACCACGGTAGACTATGTAGGAGTCCAGCGACATAGCCATTATGCCAACCCAGGAATCCCAATTTTAAGTGAATTTTTTTATTTTCCAGATGTTACAAAGCATTCGTCTTTTCATGGTGTACAGTGAAACGCCAATCCCACTTTGTCCTTTGACATAGTATTTTTTAAACGATTGTATTCAGTGCCTGAAATCACTAATCGGACGCTTTAAAAGAAAAAGCCAGTGTATGCTTCTGGTTTCATTATATCAGTTAGCTCCACATACAGCTTCGAGATGTTTAAGGAAAGATCACAATGAAGAAACTGCTATTCTGATGATATTCTTCTCTTTCCTTCATTAGGAGCCTTGATTACAGTCGGAAACTGAGAAATGTAAGTGTTTTTACTTTACTTTCCAAGTATTCTTCAGATTCTGATGGTTCCAGTGCAAATGTAGCCAAGTTCAATGCCTCTCAGGCCTTTGACTGGAAAGAGTTCTTAGAAAACAAGTAGATGTGTCTCTGCTAGAATAATAAATAAGTGTGAGAGAAATAAAAACAGTAGATTTGGGGAGAGTCTCTTTAATTAGATAAATGCTCAATCCGGAAATAGACCAATGAATGCTTGTGCTCTGTTTGCGATGCAGTTCCTTAAATACAAACGATCAGTCTCGAAGCTGACCTTAGTCCCTTTTCATTTGTGGTCACAGATGAAATTACTGAATTAAGCAGTTGGGTACTTCTTTTTCGGGAAAGATCAGCATATTATAATTGACTGTTATGACTGTATTTCCCATATTTTTATTTTGTTCTATTAATCTTTTGAGTTTTGATTTTGTTTTTCAGATTTTTTTTTTTTAACTTTTGCTATAGGATGTGTTCATTTGCCAGAGACAGACAGAAACAGAGAGAAAATAGGAGTTCACTCCCAGGGGAAATAGCCACGCTACAATTCCTTCTCCTTCATCTTCTCTCGAGATTTCAGGCAATGTACATGAGCCTGGTATTTTTCAGGCCACTAGGTCCTGGTTTCAAACTGTGGAGTCAGCCTCATGGGGTGCAGTGCCTAACCACCACGCCATCTGCTGGCCCCTAATCTTTTCTTTTTTATTATTATCATCATAATCTTATTTATATTACATTGGATTGCATATAACTTTACAGTGTATTATATTGCTTTTTCAAAAGGGAATGCCATGCATGTCAGTCAATACAGAGACATTAATCTCCCCACTTCATCATTCAATATCTTTTCAATGTTTTTCTTAATCATTATTATTATTATTCTAATTATTTTTTTGAAACAGTCAATCACTTTTTCTCATTTTGCTCTGGCCCCTAATCTTTTGAGTTTTTGTGAGTACTTCCCCAAATCAACTTTATGTAAGTAGATCTTATTTCAAAAGGCAATTATGTTAAAATGCTCTTATTTTAAATTAAATTGAAGGATGTAAGAAGTGACCTTCTACACCCACCTAAAATTTAAAATTTGGCTCTTGTTCATTTTCCAGTCTCTATTTGATTGCCATCCTTCTCTTCTTTTTCTTCTTCTAGAAAACTAGATGTGCGTACCATTTTTTTTAAAATAATACACATGTAAATAAATCAGAAAACTCATAAAAACACGACACATCTATCATCCACCCTCCTATGATGCCTTTCGTGATAGCTCATACTTTTAGCACACATTATTTTATGATCTCAGTTAAGGTCCTGCCATCTGGAATTGTCTGTTCTCTGAAAATTTATTTCTAAGCAATCAGTTAAAAAAAAAAAAGACCTTCAGGAAGTTTTGAAGGATTCATGAAGTAAAACGTTCCCACAGAGGTGGGATACTGAATCAAATCCTAGCAGTGATGCATAGAACCCTATTTTGGGCCTGTTGCCAGCTGGAAGTATTTGTCTATATTTTCTGGAAAGAGGTGCCTTAAGTATTACTTCCCAGGCTGGCTGAAGCAATATGGCAAAATGTGAAAATCAAGCAGTCGTCTTAGCTTTAGAGAGGCTTCGGGTCCCTAGAATTCCCTTTAAGGAGTTCATCCTCTGTGGACTCTGGCTGGATTTTATGGCAAAGTTCATAGAGCATGTGCGTTTGTGAACAGTTGCTTTGAAAAGACCGAACAAACGTAACCTAACCCTGTAGCTTGAGGTCACTGAGCATTCACCTTCTAAAACATCCAAGTTTGTTTCATTGGTAGCAACCTTATCAAAGCTAAAGATTTCCCTTCCTGGATTAACGGGACTGCAGCGACCTCCCCAAAGCTTCGTTGTGTGCAGATGGTATTCTTCACTTCCATTGCTTTCTTCTGACTTTAATTATATATTGTCTGGTTCCTGGGCTGGGAATCACTCATTGACCTTTAGCACTGCTCTGAGATTTTTGCCATAGCTCTGGCAGAACCTCTGTGTCTGCAAGTAGAGATTACGGGCCTTCGAAAGCACCTCTCTCGAAAGAAATCAACAGTCTCTTTCATTGCACGTCAGGGTGAAGCATACGAAGAGTTTCTGAACATTTTTGCTGCCTAATTCTTCTTTTAATTCAATATATATATATTGGAGTGAGCACATGAGCAAAGAGAGAGTGTATGAGACTTTGATGGGGTCTTGTCATGCCACGGTCCCATTCCTCAGCCTTCTAGCTCATTAAGAGCTTGAGTACCTGGTGGTTTTAGGCCAGCCAGAATTTTGGGGCCCATGGTCAACCATGAGCTTCTAGATTGAACCCCCTAGGCTGAACCTGCCACTTGATTCTGAAATTTTGGAAGATTGACTTTTTTCCCCTCTTGCTGTCTTAGCGATCACTTTCTCCAACTTAATTTTCCCTCACACTGGAGTCTTATTTTTAACTACCGAATCGTGTTGGTGTTGACGGAGACAGCATCGGGATCTTATTGAAATGACTTTCTGTTTAATGGATACCTCATGGATGGGGGTTTTTGTAAATCAGTGTTGCACAACCCCTCCTTCCTGCTTGCCTGTGAGTGGCGTCTTATTTATTCTTGGTGTAAATGTCCTTCTTCAGGGAAAATCCTCTTGCTCATGTGCATTCTTTTTTTTTCTTTAAATTTATTTATTTATTACATTAATTCACTATACATCATTACAGCATACAAATGAATTTCCCATCCAAAATACACTGTATATTGGCTCAATCAAGCACATCAACGTACGTGTTATCAGCAAATAATTTTCCATTCCTACAAATAATTTTCCATTTGTTTCCTGTGTATTTTGTTGGGTTTTTTTTTTTTTTTGCCATCTTTGATTCCCTATCCCTCACCCTCTGCCATGTCCCACCCTCCTCCCACATTGTCTCTGGTATCCATGGTTGCTTTCTATGCCTTCCCCTCCCCATTTAATTGACTTGCTAATGAACTTAATGAGTCTAAATATTTCCAATAGCAAGCGCAGCTGATATATACCTAGACAGGAACCCAAGTCTGACTTCAGGCATACGCCTCAGTGAGTAGAATGAACATACTTGTGTGCATTATTTTACTCCGCAGGTGTTAGTTACCATTTACTGGCTGGGAAAAGCAGCGAACAGCTGTACATCCTACAGTGGAACTACGCTGAAACTGAAGGAGTTTGAAGGATTGTTGGCTCAGATGAGAAAGGTAACCTGGCTTTTCTCCTTTATGCCATGAGGTGTAGACGAGATGGGAAAGCAACTCGCTTCTCATTAAGAGCACTGTCGTTCCACCTAGCGGAATGGAACAGGTCAAAGATGTCATGCCCGCAAGGAAGTGTCTGCTCGTGTTACCAGAGATGTCTTTGCCTGGTGCCTCTCATACCTCCCTGAACTTGTGTGCCCTTCGGAGAATGGGAGATCTGAGCTTGATCCAACTTTAATTCCAGAAGAGCAAATTCAGTCTGTCAGGGAGCGGCTGTGTATGCCAAGGAGCTCCACGCTCCTGTTCTTGGGGGAATAATGCGTGGGCTGAACAATGCAGCACTATGTGAAAAGAAAGACTTGCTTTGCACTTTCATCCTAAAGGTCACTGCGCTCACTCTTCCAAGCCGTGGTGTGGGTGAAGGAGCACCCGCCAAGTTCTTGCCTGGACACCCATCTTGGGCTAGCTCAGATCCATTAGAAGCATTCTCTTCCTATCTGTGTACTTTACGGCCATTGTATTTGAATGCCCTGGAAATTTGGAAGACATTGTGTACATCATTAAAGCATGATATGTTAGGTTTTTTGGGGGTTATTTTATTTTATTTTATTTTGGGGGAGGTTTTTGCTATAGGGTGTGTGCACTTGCCAGAAGGACAGAGAGATAGAAAGTGAGAAATCACCCCCCAGGGAGGATGGCCACACCACAATCCCTTCTCCTCCATTCTCCTCTCGGGATCTTGGGTACACACGCACACACGCCCAGTGTGAGTTTAAGCCACCAGGTCCAGGACTTGAACTGTGGTCGGCTACATGGGAGTCCAGCGACATAGCCATTAGGCCAACTGCTGGTCCCTTTGGGGTTTTTTTGTAATGGGAAAGACTGACGTAAGGTAGGGATATGTCAAGGAAATAGTTTTGTGCATGTTTAAGTTCAGCAATATACAGAGCTCATACAAAGGTTAGTGTATAGTATTACCCAGCCAGCCCTAGTGAACTGGTGAGGCTCGTTTTTAATCGGAATCCATTTATTTTGGATAAGATCCATAGTAGAGCACAAATCATTGCGGCCTTGCTCCTCCTAATTTCTCTAACATGCAAAATAAACGAACTAATAAGACCTCAGTGAGAGACATTCCGTCCTTTTCCATTTTTCCTTCATACCAAGAACTTGGTCCAACTTTCTAATCATTTCTTCTCCCGGCCTTAACTTAAAGTGAATAGTTCTAAGAGTTCACATTTGGCCAGAACCGTTCTGGCTCAGGTATTTATAAATGGATAAAATTTTCCTGTTGGTTTCAATGCATAGACATGGAGTCCTTGAAGCTAAATTCCTTTTTTAAAAAAATGAACACATCCGGGAACCAGCAGTTAGCGTAATGGCTATGTCGCTGGACTCCCACGTAGTCGACCGCGGTTCATGTCCCGGACCCGGTGGCTTAAAACTCACGCCGGGCTCGTGTGCGTGCGTGCCCAAGATCCCGAGAGGAGAATGGAGGAGAAGGGATTGTGGCGTGACCATCCTCCCTGGGGGGTGATTTCTCGCTTTCTGTCTCTATGTCTCTCTCTGTCTGTCTGGCGAGCGCACGCGCCCTACAGTGAAAATCTCTCAAAAAAAAAAATTTAAAAAAAAAAATAAATAAATAAAAATAAAAAATGAACACATCCATGCTATGAAGGATCATGCATTGTGTCTCAATCTTAGCTCCTCTTTGTCCTTGAAGTTTTCATCTATTCTTAGGGAAACTACAAAGGTAAGTTCCAGTCTGGATGTGGAGAGTCGAATGAGTATTGTTTTTCAATTAAATATGGGCTTCAGAAACACTAGCTGAGTCATTTATTTATTTATTTATTTATTTATTTATTTATTTATTTATTTTTGGAGAGATTTTTGCTATAGTGCATGTGCACTCACCAGAGGGACAGAGAGAGACAGAAAGCCAGAAATCACCCCCTGGTGGTGGGGATGGCCATGCTGTCATCCCTTCTCCATTCTCCTCTCGGGATCTTGGGCATGCATGCACATGCTCCTGGAGTGAGTTTAAGCCACCAGGTCCAGGACTCGAACCATGGTCAATTACATGGGAGTCCAGTGACATAGCCATTACGCCATCTGCTGGTCTCATCGTTATTGACATTTCTTAACCCTGCGCCAGCTCCTCTATGACCTGGGCAGCTGTTGGTTTCTTCGGCTATCCTAGCTCACTTTCTGCAGAGACGGTGACTCTGACAGCCTTGAAATGACCTGCTGTGGATAGCTGTGACGCCTTATTTCACTGTCTGTCCTCTTCTTATCCCTGTTTATGAGGGATGTGGATAAGGTTCATGTTAGAGCACACGTCACGGAGGCCTCACTCTTCCTAGTGTCTCTAATTGGCAAGTAAATGAACTCATTAAACCTCCTTGAGAGTCATTCAGTGTACAATTTTTCCATAAGTGCCACCATCCTCAGCCCATGGCTTCTCACCGGCCGGTCCAAGATGGCCGCTCAAGCGTCAGCCATCATGTCCACATTCGAGCCAGGAGAAAACAGGAATTAGGGGAAGAAGGGTTTATGCCCTCTCTTTAAGCATACGTCTAGAAAGTTATCCACTGCACCCCTGTTTACACTGTATTGACTTGAACTTGGTCATGTATCTATACCTGGTTGCAAGGGAAAAAAGAAAGTCTTGGGAAAAGTAGACTGACTTTCAACTAAACATTGGGGCATTTTGACTGAAGAGGGAGAGGACGTGGAGGACAGAAATGGAGGTATAGCAGGAATCTCTCCTCCATGTAGGTAGGCTGAAATAAATGTGAACTTAAATGTTTTTCTTTTATGAAGGAAATTCGCTAGAGATTTTTTTGGTCTGCATTGTTCTAGTGAGAGAAATATGCTTAAAAATGACTAAGTATGGTGCGACTCGTCAAGCTCTGTATAGTAGAGTCCTTTACGTGGAGTCTGGCACGTAAGTAGGTATTCTTAGATCATGGCTGTTCTGGAAATCCAGCAGGTGGCGTGGTGGTTAAGGGTGCTGGACACTCCCACATGGCCAACCGTGGTTCAAGTCCCGGACCTGGTGGCTTACTTTCTCTCTCTTTCTCTCTGTGGTCAAATTAAAATAAATAAAACTTTAAAAAAAAAATCATGGCTGTTCTGTGCATGTATTAGGTGTCCATGGATCATAACTATTGCTGTACACATAGCAGGGTGTTCGTAATTAGTGGCTGTTGCTATACACAGTAGGTATTTATGGATTGTTGCTGTTGTTGTATACAAGATGAATCTCTGAGAGTAGAGTAACACTGGTTTCTCACTGACCCTGGCTGTGTTAGGCAGGATTCTCAATGGAGAAGACCAAGAGAGATTTACTACAAGAATACTGAGATGAAAGGGGGAACCCTAGGGACCAGGGTGGCCCTACATATTTCAGGGACTTGGAACTAGAACATGAACAGTCTAGGTTTTCCCTCTCTCTATCCCTCTGTCATCTTGTCTTCTCTCTCCTTGAATTCATTATCATTTCCGGGAGGTTCCCTTGTAACAGGGAACATGGCCGCGGTCATCCCCCAGATCACCTGCTTCTAGCTTCTTGTCCAGAGAGGAAAGGCAATGTTTACCCTTGCCCCAGCCTTATGGTTCCCAGAGCTATACCCTGGCCCAGAGTAGGCCTTATTTCTGAACAAGTCCCCGTGACCAGGGCAAGAAGTACAGTATACTGTGATTGGCCCAGCCCACTCCTGTTGCAGGGGCCAAGAGGTGTTGCTAGAGGACAGGAATAGAGAAGAGAGAGCAGATGGGCGGATGCTGGACCTCTGCCTACGAGCAGCTACCGCCAGCTCCTGTCCCCTCAGCTGCCTCACTCTTCCCACGATACTTCCCCAGCTTGTACGCATCCGTACGTTTTTCTGTTTCTCCTTTGTCTTCTCTACCAGAACAAAAGGCCTCTAAGGACAACGTATTTGTGGGTTTTTATAAAACATTATGTCTCCTGGACTGGAACAGTAAATGTTTTTGGACTGAATAACTTCCAGAAAAAAAAAAAAAATCATGGGACCAGCAGTTAGTGTAATGGCTATGTCGCTGGGCTCCCATGGAGTCGACCATGGTTCATGTCCCGGACCCGGTGGCTTAAACTCACGCTGGGTGCGTGTGCATGTGTGCTCAAGATCCTGAGAGGAGAATGGAGGAGAAGGGATTGCGGTGTGGCCATCCGCCCTGGGGGGGGGGGTGATTTTTCGCTTTCTATCTCTCTGTCTCTCTTTGTCTGGTGAGCGCGCGTGCCCTATAGCAAAAACCTCTCAAAAAAAAAAAAAATCATGGTAGTGCGGGGAGAGTGGATGAGCATGCTGGACAGGTAGAACCCTAAAACTCTCTGGAACAGAGTGGGGTGAAATTTCGAGGGGTGACACAGAGGTAGCTGGCGTTTCTCAGATATCCGACATCACCCACCAATCCGAGCTGGTTCTCGTGTTCTCTGACGAGGAGGGATGGGAAGTGGGCAGGTGAGCGAAATAATCCAAAAATGTCATTGGTGCTGGTCATTGTCTCCTCTTTCATGAACACACTTTTATGGGAACAGCTAGCAATCAGCGCAAAAGACTGAATTGAGTCTTAACTCCCTTCCCTGGAGTGCTGTCTGCCTTCAACAGAGAGCTCCTGGCTCCTCGGTAGACACACAGACCACATGATTAGATCCCAAGGAAGGAGACGTTAGACCACGCTAGCGTTGGCTTTATCCACCCAAAGCTGAACGTAAAGTGACCAATTGAAAACAAAGCGTGGTGGTTGGGGTCAGCAGGTGGTGTGGTGGTTAGGGCTCTGGACTCTCCCACATGGCCGCTCAGGATTCGAGTCTCAGACCTGGTGGCTTGCTTTCTCACTTTCCTTCTCTCTGTGTGCCCGTCTTTCTCTGGTCATATGAAAATGACTGAATTAATACATAAAATTAAATGAATAATTATTTTAAGAAAAAACTAAAAGTGTAGTGATTTGGTAGAAGCCCATAAAATTGCCTGTCCACC